AATGGATTCTTTCAACTGCAAAGTTATAACTTCTTACATATACATATGATGGATCGATTAGTCTGTAGTAGAGTGATTTTCAATCATTGTAAAGTGGGGTTGGGGTTGGGAGAGCAACCAAAAATAAGGTACCTGTGGGGATATGTATTTTGTCACTATTCAATCTTTTTTATTAGTTAGCATCTATGGTCGCGTATAAGATAGAACCCAAAACTAGACCGACTTTGCAACTGATATATGTTTTTTGCTGAAAAATTCTACTGGAATTAAAAACCTTCTTTAGAAAGCAATACCCTGAATAACAATTTCATGTTCTCTGCTAACATCTAGATTCAGTCAAGGAAGCAAGATGAAACTGTAAACCCTTATCAATGATATTCAAGAATTGGTTTGTAGGGATTTGGTTGATTGGTTACAGGATTTCATCATGAGCTGACATTGGTTAGAGAATCACTGGAAAACCAGATGGGAGTACTAGACAGCTGTTTGACGGGCCTAGTTTGGGGCTCTTCATCAGTACGCACCCACCGCCAGAGTTCGAACACAGGACCCTCTGGTTACAAGTCGAGGTCGTGGACCCTGAAGCCAGTGGGACCCTACCCAATAGCCACTGGAACCCCAGGTAACTACCTACCTCAATAGGGCCAGTCGCCAGTGAGCATTGATACTGGACTATAGTATTGACAAACTGAAGATTGATGTAGTTTATTTTACAACTACCTTTTTACAGTCTTTTATTGCAACATTTGATAGATTTATTATATAATGAAAACATCAGGAATACGTCCATCCATGAATCGGTCGGAACCTAAAACTGCTAATAATTGGCTGTATGATAATGCTGTTCCCCTAAAAATATGTAATTCCTGGTGATGTTTTAATGAAGCTTGAAAATCCCCATAAAGTTAGCATAAAAATGAAGGAGGCTTTCAGCGAAGAGGAGTTACTCTTAAATTATACGATAATAATAATAACAATCATTTTATTCCAAACAATAATAACCATACAGAATGGAATTTTCAGTGTTTTTTATACATATTGCAACAGTTTAGCTCCTTTTATAAATATGTACACACATAAAATTTAAAATAGCAGTGATAATATTAACAATCAAACCACTATAAACAGAATGTTAGTGGAAATAAATATATAGATAATACATGTAATAATAATAATAATCTTTGTTGATACTTTGCATTTCAGTTACTGATTTAATACGTTTATTAGTTCTTTTCTGATATTCGACTCTTCACATAAATCCCGTGCTAAATATGGTATGGTAGAATTTTCCTGTTTAGTTGTACGAGCGTTGATTCTTATGAAGTTTCTTCTGGTTTTACCCGAAGATATACAAGGAGGAAGTTGAGAATAAAGAGGATGTTCAGTATCAGACAAGATAACTTTAGCCAAATGCTTGCAAAAATTGAACTGCCTACTGACAATGATGTCAGTTAGCTGAGTCAAAGGCACACTAATAACCCTACTTACAATCTTCAGTGTCCTACGTGACATGATATAATCTTTTTTGAGAAGTTCAGGGAGGAATAGTGGTGAACAATAAAGGAGAATGGGGAGAATACATGAATTAACAAATTGTAAGAGAAGAGGTTGAGTTATACTAGCAGAAAGTCTCAGCTTCACTACGTAATAAGTCAAACGAAATATCTTCTTAGAAATCAACAGGATATGAGACGACAAACTACTTACAGCTGTGAATATGTGATACATTATCGTGCCAGCAAAAGGAAAGTTTCCACTTCCAAGCTACACCTCTGACAAAATTTCCGCTTACTTCATAGGTGATTCTTAATTCGGTCTGTGAGTTCACTATGTGCCCAGGTATTCCAGAATAGATCCGCGGGGAAATCATTTTTACTATTCTACAAAGCCATACGGAAAAATTTTCGATGTTACTTTTGGACGGTAGACGCTAGGCATGGTCAATGAGGATATATTCATGAGGCCAGCAGAAGTAGCTTAAATTTCACTTTTACTAGAATCACTGGTTTTGTAGATAGAGTGCATCCAGGTTCACTTGCAGATGTAAACTACTGAAGAATTTCAGACAGTGACGAATGGTCCTGTTAGTCGCTGCATGATTTTCAATTTTCCTCTTGCTCATGTTATATCCTGGTAAATTTCACCTTAAAACTTCGTATTTGTTCTCTATGGAGTGAAATTATCCAGAATTTGTCGTAAATTATTGAACATAGAGTCTAAGATAGTTTGCATGTTTTTCAGCACAGATTATCTAACACTGAAAAAATATTCATCACAGGGGAATCTAAAAGATTATTAAGTGGATGGATAGTGAAATGACTGAACAGTAGGCTTAAATTAATTGAACATAAAGGAGATTTAATCGAAAAGTCAGAAAAATAGCTAAAATAGCAGACAAGAGACACTTACAGAAGATTAAGAATTTCCAGACATGATGAAAATAGAAAACATACTGACCACTTCTTATTAATTTTTTCTCCCGTTAAATGATGAATTCCTTGAGGAAGTGTGGTCGGTTTTTTGATGAGTTATTCGACAGTCACATTTGTCTCACACTCATCAGAACCTTTACACAAGAAGGCAAAATAGGATTCTTCAATATTTTTCGGAATGTTCTATCCCTTGATAAAATTGAGCAAAGCAAGAACTACAAATCAACCGAGAAATAAAATATATTCATTGCCATATGAAAGTTGCTAATATTGGTGTATTCAAACTCTTAGACGATGTGCCCATCAAGCCTCCTACTTTTTGAAAATGAATAATTACAATTTATATTGTAGGTCTAGATTTCTTCCTTTTCAATTTCTGAAGCACAGTTATTAACTCCTTTGTATTCATATGTGTCGACATTGAAATTTCTTATGAACGACGAGAAATAGATTAATATTTTTATTTTTTTAATTTTGATTACAGCTTGATTCCACACCGTATTTTCAGTACAAGTATGGAATTTTCAGCATGGATATCGGTTGCCCAAATTCAGGCCGACCATAGATATCGGGTGTGCGCCGGCAGGGGATCGAACCCCGGACCATGTGCATGGTCGGCGAGAGTCCTAACCACTGTGCCACCGACGCACAAATATTGGTTTGCAGGGATTTGACTGATTGGTCACAGGATTTCGTCGTGAGCTGACATCAGTTAGAGAACCATTGGAAAACCAGCTGTGAGTACTATACATCTGTTTTACGGGCCTAGTTCGGGACTCTTCAGTACTACGCACCCACCGGGGTTCGAACCCAGGAGCTTCCGGTTAAGAATCGAGCTCGTACACACTGAAGCCGCTGGGACCTGACCCAATGGCCCGTTAACTCAAACTTCTGCCAATTCGCGATATAGCGCGACCGCTAGTCAGTGTCTTCGGCGAGTATTTGTCCTCACACCCGGTGGTGCATACTGTGAAGGGGCCCAATCACAAATATTCAGAATCACAATTTATGATCTGCTTGATACCATGAGTAGTGAACTGCGGTCATAATCCTATATGTTACCAATCAAATCCAGGTAACCAGTCAGAATACGAATGGTCTGAACTGATTCGGTTGTCTGAGCTAACTCAAGCCTTGGTAAATCTCTGGTTATCTGGACCACAAAAGGGCGAAACGACCGTGTGGTGTTTGCTTGACTTCGATTGGGCTAGCAAGTAGTACTGTTTAACGTGAGCGTTTTCCAACTACTTATTCCAATCAGTAGTATCTTCTGTCAGACAGAAAAGCGAAAAATAACTCAGTAGTTATTAGTAGTAGTATTGATCATTTGCGAAATATATAAATCTAATCCTTTTTAATTAAGTGTAAATTAAAATTAATATTAATAAATTTATTGTTCAGTAAGTCTGATCTATAAATATAAAGCTAATCTTTATAGATTTCATTTTAATCTAATGAGTTACTTTTATTGATTGATCAGGTGTAATAAATACTGGTATTAGGTAATTGAAGAGAAAGTGTGGGGTGGTGAGGAATCTAGGCTCAGTATTCTTATGTACTTGCCAGCATTCATGAACTAGTAAGACATATCTACAATTGTGATGGAAATTGATATTTACTTAAGGATTCATATCTGTGTAACAAGGCTGCTTTTAAAGAAGTTACAAATGGGTTATTAACTTTCTTGTCAATTGGTAACAAACGTGATAATATGTGCCTTAGCTTGGTGATTATATGACATTAGTTAATGTCAAGTAATAGATCATTGTATGCTTAAATGCACTCCTTATAAGTAGTTTGAATTTGATATGAGTCGATAACTGTTTTTTATTCTGTTTCAGGATTATTCACGGATTGATGTCAGTAAGAGAACCACAGAAAACCAGGAAGTACTGGACAGCTATTTCGTCAGCCTCGTTTAGCACTCATCGACAGTATACACCCACCACCGGGGTTCAAACCTACAGCCTTCCGGTTATAAGGAAAGCTCGTGTACCACTCAGCCACTTGGACTCGACTCAACAGTCAGTTTGTGATTTTAGAGCTATTGGCACCGGTTAATGTCATTGCTAACGAGTATTTCACCTCAATCCCTTGACTGGGTGGAACTCACTCACTGGTCACGGCTTCTCACTAGAACTCCTCCAGGCAACTTCTTCCTGCAGGCAGTCACTAGCGAGCATCAGATTAATTTGCGTGAGTTTATTTGTTCGGATTCATTAATGTAAATATGTATGTAGGTATGAACGTTTCATTATCAGATTAGACAACTTAATCAGTATGATTTTTATAACAAGTTTTAACATAAAATATACTGGTGAAGTCATTAAGTCAATTTACGAGGGGAAATGAAATAATATTGATCATTTTATATTTATACTTTCATAATCAATCAATCAAGAGAATCTGATTCCTTTAAAGTACTTTATTATCATTGATACTTTTTAATCACGTGACATCTTCGGTATATATATAACACTATTATCTTTTATAATCCAAATTTGTTGATTCCATAAATATGAATTCACTGAAAACGAATACTCTTCGTCGCTAATCTTCTTGATAAGAATGGATTTCTTACTGAATTTAGTAAGTGTATTATTATATGTATATTAAAACGATATGTGAGTATCCTTAAAGCCTAAAATAACTTATTAGGTTTGAATGTATTTATAGTGGGTGATCAGTATATTATTTCACTTGTCTTGGTAGTCTGTATTTGACAGTCATTTATAAGGGTGAGGTTAACTTTAGACGCATTGTGAACTGTCTGATGTTCTTCTAGCTCTGATGTTCGATCGTAGACATTTCATCAACATACTTGGTAAAATCTTCACCACTAACCTCATTAGGAAGTGAAATATATTTAAAAGTTGCGCATACATATTTACGTTTCATTCTCCTTCTTATTTTAGTCACTTGTAAATGAGGTTCTCTTTCATCACTTTAAACCAGATCCACAAATACTTTCAGTTTCTCCGAATTTGATACTGTCTATGTCACCATGGGATTCATGCTCATGGTTAGTGATGTCACCCGACGGTCCCTCCAGATTATGTGTAATCCATCTGCCAAGGAACTTAGCCGTAAGTTCCTATTGTAATGAAGACGTTTTCGTTTTGAACCGATAAATACTATGTATGTGTCTCAACTTTAAATCCAAAACACCAGTATTCCTTGAACGAAATTATATTGTTTGGCAATTAAAGCGAGACAATATACAAAATTTTTATTCGTATTTGCTCCAGTCTTCATTCAACTTGCAAACGATTGAACCATTCGCGCCTTCGAGTTGCCCACCAATGGCTGCCAGTTCCAATAAACAAACGTTCAATGTTCACGTCCATTGACGCCATCTTCATTTCCTTCCGCATGTTTGTTGCGCCAGTCATAAGTTGTTGTTTCGTTCATTATCGCAGTTTCTTTCTGCTTGCCCCTTGAAGTAATATATTGTAATGACAGATGACAAGAGACTTGGTAAAGGAATGTTTATTAGGAATTTGATATCTCTATATAGGAAAGTTATGTATACCATGTATGAAATTCGTCATTTGCACAGATATTCCGTGTTGCGCTACACCTGCCTTTATTATTGAATTTCTTTGTCTTCTTTTCGTGTCTCCCATGTTTTACTGTAATACTGGTTCATTTCCTTACATTAGTGTCAAATCTGTCTCATCAATACTTGATATTTTTATGCAGATGAAAGTCTCTTTATATACTACTGATAAATCTTGTCAGTAGTACAAGCCACAATATGACCAGTTCTGCTAATACTACTCGTCTCACGATTATTTGCACTGATTCTGCAAATAACAATACAGCCAACAGAATAACTAACTTTAAACAAATTCAAAATGTTACATAGTAAAATGATATTTTAAGGAAGACAAATGGCAGCATGTTACAGTGATAAATAATCCAAGTTTAATGTAAGCCACAACTACAGCGAGCTTGAAATCACCAATTCTATAGTCAACCACTCGATTTCATGTTACATAAGTCATTTGATTAACACTGCCATACTTCACGCTTAAGTTTCGTTTGAATAAGGAATGAGATCGTGTGCTTACTTCACTACAGCGATTTTCTACCCAGATGTGGTTGATTCAAACTAATAGAGTAAGAAAGAAAGAGTGAGTGAGTGAGTGAGTAAGTGAATGGAAAAGTTAATGAGAGAAAACGAAACATCAAATAAACAGACTAACTAGGGCGATTCTAGATGACAGATGCCGTGAACAAAGGTGAAAGGAAGCAATGTCGCGAAAGTTTCTCCTCTCTACTATGATCCATGTTCAATCGATCACTAGATATTTAAAAAATAATAATCTATTGACAGTTCTGAACACGAATAGTAATGATAATTATAATAATTTTTAATAAAGACTACTTCATATCATCGCAAAATTATTCTAAAGTGTCTCTTTTGAGGTAATAAATGATTATGCCAATAAACACGAATCTCGTGTTGGAAAATATATATAAGGCTAGAGAATTGTTAAAACACAAAGAACAATAAATATCTAATTTGTCTTGACACGTAACACCCTTGAAACGCAAACTTGTGGTCCCATGACAAATAAAATCCACAAATATTAGGGTTTTCAGAAAAATACATCACTGTCATCATCGTCATCATTATTCAGCTAGTGGGCAAAGTTAAACTTTAAACACCACTAACTACCAATCAGCGAATGACCTCGAATGCACCAATCACGTGAAGGAGGCATTTTTGTGCATGAAATACACGTATTTATGAAAAAATGCATAAAAACTATAGAAAAGTGTTACAGAGGATACCTTCCTCTCACATGTGATAAAAGCAGCTCTCAGTTTTAGGTTCAAGTATGAACAGAGTATAGTTCCATTGTGGATAAAACTTATTTTGATAAAGTCTCATAGTGTAATACAGAAATATTTACTGAGCAATAAATTCTGCTCGAAACGTGGTCATCAGTAAATATTACTGTATAACAAACACTGAGAGACTTTATCAAAATAAATTTTTACCCACAGTGGCATTATACTCTACCACACTCCCCGAGTTCTACTCTTATATCAACAGAGTAATTTAACCACATTCTATACATGTAATTATTCAGGTCTTCTAGCCCTAACGATAACCCTAATCTCTCCTGAACTTAACTCTAACGTGAAAAAATATCCCTAAACTAACTGTAATCTAACTCGAACCAACCCTAATCTTGTCTTTATTAGGTTAACCTAATCCTAACTTGTCCTTGGCTTAAACCATAACTTAATCTTTCCCTAATCTAAGCTGAAACTTGCCAGATATCCCATTTAATAACATAAAACTTCGATGAGCATATTTTACTGATGATGACAACATTATTTGCTAGGTTTCACTAACTTGCTCAGTGAGTGTTTCAAGGTAACTGGTGCGGTCGCACTCCATTGGTAGTTAGTGGTGCTTAAAGTTTAACTTGGTCAGCTAATGAGTCTTAAACTGGAACAAAAGGAATTCCTGGTCTTTGTTAGTTTAAACCATATTGATTTACAATAGAATTCACATTAAAATTAGTATTCAATGATCTCTGCGTCAAGTTAAACTAACTACACAGCTGGTGAGCTCAACTCTGAACGAGAGAAGTGATCATCCGGAGTTTAGATCAATTAGATCTGGGTATTCGGCACTACTGGTTGATGCAAGAGGCATCCAACCAATCATATTAATAATCAGTAGCATATACCACAACGGACTCAAGTAGTTATCAGGAGGAAAACTCGGATATTTGATAATTTTCCCTAGAGATCTAAAGGTTTTTCCATTATTCATTAAATGTTATTCTAATAATTAGATCGGAAAATTGTGCAACAATAGATTTTAGAGGTCTGTTAGTAGGGAGCTGAGCTCCTATTAAATTCTTTTCTCATGGATGATCATTATTAAAACATTTCTGCAACACTGATCGTCCTCGGGCTTCATTTTGGAGATGCAGGTCTCAAGCATTATGGCTTTTATATTACTTCTACGAACTGAAGGACTGAAATGGGTATTTAACCTTTTATATAGACTTAGGTATTTAGCTGTATTCGTTGATGCATTACGCAGACAATTTTAATCTATAGGAGTCATGCATGATTCAGATAGCTTAGTGGAAATGTCACTGCAAAGTAAGGTAACATGAGATCTAGGAAAGAAAACGAATCTTTTTTTTGGTTTACAGATTCGGTTTGCTAATGCGTGTCATTGAGGACGAAATCAGGGCGAAATAGAAATCCACCTCGAATAACTCCTTCTGGCATTTAATTAAACTAAATTACAGAGTAATAGTCCATCGTGTTACTAAGATCAATGACCACATCGAATTTTCGACCGGAAAACCCGGAGTCAACGCTGAATTATTTGGGTATAATGGTTGTGTCTGTTCTCGAATTTATCCCATTATTCCAAAAGATTCTAATAGAGAAATATTAGATGACAGTTAAGCACGTTTAAACACGTAGTATTATTTCCTGTCATGCCTTTGAATTTCTTTCGCTGTGATTTTGTATAGACTAGTACTGAGGGGAATCATTAAATTTCCGTGAATAGATTTGACTGAGTATTAGTTAGCTTTATGTTGCACTGCATAACAATGCAGTAGTAATTACTAGATGATGTTTCAGACACAGGATCATTTAAAGGACGGGTATACTGCAAAGTCTTCGTATTTAATGTGTACTGTATTGGTGTTAGTAGAACCAATCGTATATCAGGTGACTTCACATTGCAGTTAGCACTGAATATGTCGTCTATGAGGAGAATAAAGCTTCAGAATTAAACCTGCTAGCTCAGGGAAAACAACCATACCAAAATACAGTAACTGCTTTAAAATCATCATAACCTCAACATAAAATAATTGTAATTTCTAACAGTTAACCTAATAAAGGAAGAGTATACAAATTGAATAGACGAAACGAAAAAATTGGTGGAGCCAAAATATGATTAGGGATTACCATACTTTCGCACTAAGGGACTAAGACCATGAAAGTTGGAGGGGTTGAACGAACTTTTTCTGTACACAGAGATCTGGATTTTCTGTTTCGATAGTCAAAGCTTCAGCAATACAGATGAGTCGGGTACGTAGGGATGCCTTGTAGATGACTCTAAAGGTGGAGGCTATAGAGATAGGGTGATCATTATCGACCAGATGTTCAATGATCGTGCTTCTTAGTGCTCAACTTCCACCTCTTCGTAACCATGCAGGATAGTGTTCTTGCACCCTCTTGGTCAAAACTCGAGTCGGACGACCGATATACCTAGCTCCACACGAGTAGATGAATTGATAAATGCACGCAGAGTTGGTCAACAGCGGGGTCTTGTCCTTCAGGTTATTGAACAGTAGTGTTTGAGTGGTAAAGGCTATTCTCAAAGATGCAGAAGGGAATGTTATTTCAGGGACTATGATATCCTTTTCATGACATTGGAAGCTAAGTCACCTTTGAATTCCAAGCTCGTGCACAACATTTTCTTGGGTACAGATGACAAGTCATATTTCACAGGATTTAACTGTATATTCTTGTTTATAAAACGTGGTGGAAATCCATTTTCTATTAGAATTTTCCTCAGAAGATTTAACTCATCC